GAGCCTGCGCGTCCGGAGCCTGTGCTCCGCAACGGCAGAGGCCACAACAGTGAGAGGCCCGCGTACCGCAAAAAAAAAAAAAAAGGTGGTAACAGCCTGACCTTTCCTCACTCAGGACTGGAGGCTGTCGTCATTGGAGAAGTTCACGAGAATATCACGCTGCGCTGTGGCAACATCTTGGGACCGAGGGGCCTCATAACCTGGTACCGCAATGACTCGGAGCCTGTCTTCCTCCTGTCCTCCAATTCCAGCCTCCCGCCAGCGCAGCCACGCTTCTCTCTGGTGAATGCCAGCTCCCTGCACATGGAGGCGCTGAGCCTGCAGGATGAAGGGAACTACACCTGCTGGGAGGTCCTGAACGAGACTCGGTGGTTCCAGGTGTGGCTGCAGGTGGCCAGTAAGTGGTGGGTGGGGACTGAGACTGGCTGGCGTGGCGCTCAGAGCCTGGGACCCGAGGAGGCCTTTGGAGTCAATGGCCTGGGTTTCATTCTGGGCTCTGCTACCTGCAAGCTAAATGACCTCTCATACCTGTTATTTCCTCATCAGTATAGTGGAGATAAAAGGGATTCTTGCCTCATAGAATTGCTGTGAGGAATAGATCACAGTTTATCTATATACAGTGCTGTAAATGCTCCTGGCATATTAGTTAGCTTGTTAATATCATCCTCGCTATCAATCTCATTTTATTATGCAACAAAGTCAGAGTATAACATAATCAAGTCAGACTGACTGAGTTCCAATCCTAAGGCTAGGTCACCTTGAGTAAGTAAGTAGCTTAATAACTCCATTTTTCAGTAGCTTTGGTTTTTCTTATTTGTTAATTGGGGACAATGCATTGCATACCTTATCAGGTATATGCTCTTGTGCTGTAGCGCTAAATGCAGGGCTTGGTATGAGCTACTGTTACTACTGTCTTTCCTAAATCAGTCTGTCAATATATATGCATGAATTTAGAGCAAGGGTTGGCAAATCATAACCTGTGGACCATTTCTAGCCTGTTTCTATTTTTGTATGGCCTGCAAGTGACAAATTTTTTTTTTACATTTTTAACGGTTGAAAAAAATCAAAAGAAGAATGATATTTGTGACATGTGAAAATTATATGAAATTCACATTTCGGTGTCCATAAATAAGGTCTTATTTGAACACAGCAACACTCATTCATTCCCATGTTATCTCTGACTGCCTTTAGTGCTACAACCTCAGAGCTGAGTGGCTGTGGCACTGATTGTATGTCCTGCAGGGCCTAAAATATTTACTCTCTGGCCCCTACAGAAAAATTTGTTGGTCACTGGTTTAGAGGGATATCCACATTCTATACCCAGGGTGTGTCATTGAGTAGAAATACCCATGTGATCACTATTGCTCCCTGATTCTCTCATCTATAAATTATTTACTCATTCCTTTAGTCAATATGTATTTATTGAGAGCCCAATGCCAGGCACTATTCTAGGCACTGGGCCACAAGAATGGACAGGTCAGAGAAGGTCTCTACCCGTGTGGAGCTGACATCCTAGTAGGAGAAGACAGACAATAAGCAGGTAAACAAATGCATCAGGCAGTTTCAGAGTGACAGGTGCTGTGCAGAGAATTGAGATGGGGTGATGCGATCAGATCCTCTGAAACACTTTACATTGGTGGGTCAGAGAGGAGCTTTTGGAAAGAGTGACATTGAAGCTGAATGATACGTAGGAGCCAGTCACATGAAGATAAGAGAGAGGGATCCAGGCAGAAATTGAACTAGTGCAAGATGGGTTGAACATGGTGCGTTTGTGGATGAGGAGAAGGCTGGTGTGGTGGGAACCCTGGGTGTGAGAGGGCAGGACGTGTGAGACATGGGAGGCAGGGCCAGACCATGTGGGGCCGGGTAGGACTGGTGTTATGGGTTGAATTGTGTCCCCCAGACAGATAGGTTGAAATCCTAACCCTCGATACCTGTGAACGTGACCTTATTTGGAAATAGGGTCTTTGCAGATATAATCAACTTAAGATGAGGTCATTAGGGTGGGCACTAATTAAAATTGACTGGTATCCTTATAAGAAGAGGAAAATGCATGCAAAGACAGAGACACAGGGAGAATGTCGTACTGTGGCAGAAGCAGAGATTGGAGTAATGTAGCTGCAAGCAAAGGAATGCCAAAGATGGACGGCCATAACCAGCAGCCAGGGAAGAGACAAGGAAGGGTTCTCTCCTAGAGCCTTCGGAGGAGTACAGCCCTCCTAGCACCTGATTTCATACTTCTGGCCTCCAGAACAGTGGTAGAATCAATTTCTGTTGTTTTAAGCCATCTGGTTTGACTTACTTTGTTAAGGCAGCCCCAGGACACTAATACACCTGGTCAAAAATTGGGATTTTATTCTGGGTGCAGGAGGAACTCCTGGAGCTGTAAGCAAGCAGGGATGTGGTATCGGTTGAATTACACGTGGATAATGGATGTGTGCGGTCTCAAGAAAGACTGGTAAAATAAGAAACAAGGAAACCAAAAGCAACTGTACTCCGTTAAGTTCTTTTAAAAGAACTTAAAGAAACTAAAAACAAAGAAACAAACAAAAAACCACACAAGGAAGCCAATCGGCGGCGTAAGATATTAGTGGCCAGAGTCAGGGTAGCAGCACTGACCTTGGTGAAAATGTACAGGTTCAGAAAATATTTTGGAGGTACACCTGCAAGATTTGCTGGTGGATTAGAAGTGGAGGATGAAGGAAAGAGAGGCTTCAAGGACACGTCTAGATTTTTGGATGGTTTGTACGTTTTCCACCAGCTCTTAAGGCTTATGGAATTTGCGAATGCAGTGTTTTTGGGTCTGGAGACGCCATGGATGAATTGCTGAATGGCCAGGAATGAATGTGGGTGTATCAAAAAATGTCACCCAATTTGGCCCAGTTCTGATTGGTTCTCACTGTGAGCCCATGGGCGGGTGCCAACAGGCCTCCCTCACTCCAGCTGTCAAACGGTAATTAATAATTCCTTCGGGAGAAGCCCTCCTGCAAGGCCACGAAGATGAGCCAGCTCTGCCTCTCTGCAGCCCTTCTAGTCTTCCTGGGCACCCTGGTGGCCAGCACCCCAGGGGGTGAAAACAGCAACCAGGCCCAGGCCCTGCACCCTGCCTTCTGCCTGGAGCCTCCCTACGTGGGTCCCTGCAGGGCCCTGTTCATTGGGTACTTCTACAATGTGAAGTCCAGGCTCTGCGAGACCTTTGCTTACGGCAGGGGCAGAAGGAAGCAGAACAACTTCCTGGATAAGGAGGACTGCATCAGCACCTGTGGTGGCCGCAACAGGGCTCAGGAGAGCCGGGCAACTGTGCTCCCCTGAGATGGCAGTCTTAGGAGGCCCCAGGGCTGGGCTGCTGCTGCTTCTGAAAGATTTGAGCCTCCTCCTCTACTTCCTTCTCAAACCTACCTTCCTCAGCAGGACCCTGCCTCTTTCCTCACTGCATCCTCACCTTCATACCCCTCTCCACCATTACTGCACTCCTTGGAGGGGGTAGCGATGGAATTTCTGGCATCCAGTTCTGAGCGTCAGTGGTGGCAGAGGTTTTTTTCAATAATGAACCCCCTTTCCCCCCCCACACACACAAAAAATTCCTTCGGGACTTCCCTGGAGGTCCAGTGGTTAAGACTGTGCTCCCAAGGCATGGGGCACGGGTTCGATCCTTGGTCAGGGAACTAAGATCCCGCGTGCTGCACGGTGCGGCCAAAAATAATAATAATTCCTTCATGTCAGTCTTGTCAATAAGTGTCTTTGCTTTTGACCTCAGAGGAGTAAGGTGGCATTACAACTTTGGGGGCTTTTTTTTTTTTATTATCACTCTCTGCGGTTTATGATGATTTTATCTGACACTGACTTATTAATCATTGGCTAAGTTTATTGGAGGTTGGATTAGTTTCATTATTGCCCTGTAGGGAGATAAATGCAAGGTCTTCTTATGATGAAAGTGAATTTACATAAAAAAAATCACTAAACTCAAATGGTGTTTTGAGCTCCCTGAGTTACTGTGGTATGATTTGTGTTAAGGAAACTTCTTCATTTGGAAACATAGGGGGTCCCTGACTGGTGTAGGGCTTGTTCGTGAAAACAGAACACAGGCTGTCTTAGTCAGTTTGGGCTGCTATAACAAAAGTAGCATGGTCTGGG